ACGTCAGGGTCATCTCCGTTGCTATCGATGTTGGCAACGCTGCGGCCATCGACCTTCTGCGCTCCGTGGGCGTCATGTTACACTCCGAGTTTTGGAATTTCACAGTCCTCGAGATCGCGTGTCGGGTGGGACAGGACGGCTGTGTACGTGCGCTGCTACACGATCAAGCCATCTTCGAGAGCGTCCGCAACCGTCGCTCGGACGCGTTGTACATCGCCGCGCACTACGGACGTGCATCGGTGTTAGGCGTCCTCTTGGAGAGCTTCAATCTGTCGCATGTGAAGGTGGATTCAACTTTCTCCGACCCTATTCTCGTGGCCGCAGTATCGAGCAAGTCCTTGCCGACCGTTGAGCTTCTTTTACAACAGCCGGACGTCGACATAAACCATTCGCGCGAAGGAGGCCAGACACCGCTCATGGTGGCAGCTCGCACACTGAACTTTGGTGCTGCAGCTGCGCTTTTGGCCCGCGGCGCCCGTGTCGGCGAGCCCAGAGGCCCAGATGCGATATTCTTGGATGATACTGATTACCTTCTGAAGAACTACGGAGACGACGTATGTGCTGCCAAAGACGTCCTCCGACTCCTGCTTCAAGAGCGACCTCATTTGGTTTCGAACTTTCTTAGCTACGCGGTTTACCATTTCAATCACCTTCACGAAGATTTGATCGAGGCGTTTCTCGAATTCGGCGCAAACGCTTCGCAAACGGACTCCACCGGGCTTACGGTGCTCCACGCGTTAGCCTACCTCGCCACGTATTTCAAGGAAAGCTATGTGGAACAAAAACGATATTTGCAGTGTATAGATGCTCTCGTGCTGCACGGCGCCGACGTGTCTGCGAAGACGACCGCGCCCGCTACGGACACGAACTCATCGTTTTACTTCTTAGTGGATCCAGCTTGTCCGCTCGACGCCGGCATGACGCCGTTAGACGTCGCCGCGAAGTGTGGGAAACCAGACCGGCGCGAAGCGGTCACGAAATATTTCGCAGCCGCGATTCGCAAGCGCGACGCGGCCGCCGGACGAACTCCGAGAGTCGAGACTGGATCCTAAGTTCCCTCAGCCTCCTCGATAAATAACAGGCACACAACGTTAACAGCGAGAGCGATGGGATGCGCGGCGGCCGGGGTTCGGGCCCGGCGGCGCGCGGGGGAGCTACTTGCGGTTGGACATGTCCACGAAGTCGAGCACGGTCGCGCAGATCGCGTCGATCTTCGGCTTGTCTAAGAGCATGTGCATGTGGTTTGAGGGGCAGTCGACGACGGTGACGTTGGGGACGCCCGCGGACGCCCAGGCGTAGAGATGGGGCGCCGCGTCCGCGTCGCCGTCCTTGAGCATCTTGACCGCGCGCCGCTCGGACGCGCGGAAGAGCACGAGGTCCGCGTCGAGCTTCGACGTCGCCTTGTCGTAGACGCTGGTCGTCGACGTGCGGAGCGTGCTAATGAAGGCGTCGGCGCCCGCCGTGAGGTGGTGGGCGACCGTCGCCTTGTTCTCGGCCTCCGACTTGGCCGCGTCGTAGCCGAGGAAGTGGATGCCGAGCGACGGCAGGAGCGCGAGGAACGCGTCGACGCGCTGGTCCGCGGTCATCGCCGCCCAGCCCTCCGGGAAGGTGCGGTTGCGCCCCAGCAGCAGCTCCGCGGCGCCCTCGGCGGGCGCGTAGGAGCAGTCGAGGTCGAACTGGGACGGCTCGGGCCCGTCGAGCGCGAAGACGGCCGCGGCGCGCTTGCCGAGCGGCGCGAGGCGCAGCGCGGTCTCGACGGCGAGCCAGCCGCCGACGCTCAGGCCGCCGACGAAGCAGGCCGCGTCGTTGTCCGGCACGGCGGCGGCGATGAGCGGCGCCATGTCGCGCGCCATGTCGCCGACGGCCGCGCCGTCGCGGCGGTCGACGCCGTAGACGCGGAGGTGCGGCGCGATCTCGCGGCCGAGCTGGGCGAAGATGGCGCTATCGCCCTGGCCGCCGCTCCAGAGGAAGAGGGCGCCGCGCTGCGTCGGCCGCCGCGGCCCGAAGGCCACGAGGAGCGACGACGCCTCGACGTCGGCCGCGTCGCCGCCGCCGCCGTCGTCGCCCCGGTCCGCGAGGAGCGCGACGATGGCGTCGGCGGCCAAATCGACGGTGGGGTAGTCGAAGAGGAAGGTCGGCGAGATGGCGACCTTGAAGGCGCGCTTGAGCGCGCGCGAGAGCTCCGTCGCCGCGATGGAGTCGACGCCCGCGTCGTCGAACGACGCGTCGACGCCGTCGGCGAGGTCCGCGCCGGAGAGCTCGCCGACGATGCGCCGCACCTCGGCCTTGACGCCCGCGGCGTCGAACTGCGCCGCGGCGCCCGGCGCCGCGGCGGCCGGCGCGGCCCGCGCGCCGACGGCGTCGGGCGCGGCGTCCGCGTGCGCGTCGATGCCGTAGACCAACGGCTCGACGACCTCGAGCCAGGGGTAGCTCACGCGGCCGCGGTAGAGCGTGCGCTTCTCGACGTCAAAGTAGGTCACGTCGTTGGCCGCCTCGGGCGCCGCGGCGCCGCCGCGCGCGAAACGCGCGTGCGCGACGATGCCCGAGAACCCGAAGCTGCCGACGCCGACGACGGCGTCGCCCGCGTCGAAGCAGGGCGTCGCCGTCGCCTCCGCCGCGGGGATGGACAACGCCTTCTTCGTGGCGTTGGCGAGCTGGCCGTTGAGCGTCCGCAGGAGCGGGTTCGGCGGCAGCGCGCGCGTCTTCGCGGCGCCCAGGAGCGCGGCGACGCCCGCGAAGCCCGCGGCGGGCTCCAGGTGGCCGAGGTAGGCCTTGACGCCGCTGAGCACGATGGGGGCCGCGAGCTTCGCGGGCTTCTCCGCGTGGGACGCGAGCGCGGCCATCTCGATGGGGTCGCCGAGCGCCGTGCCCGTGCCGTGCGTCTCGACGTTCGTCAAAGTGAGCTTCGGCGCCTGGTCGAGGGCCAGCGCGAGGAGCTCGCGCTGCGCGACGGCCGACGGCGCCGTGATCGACGCCGTGCGCCCGTCGCTGCGCAGGGACGTCGCCGGCAGGAGCACGCCGCCGTGGAGGGCGACGTCGGCGACGCCGTCTAAAGCCTCTTGCCGCCGGATGAGCACGGCGACGACGCCCTCGCCGCGCGCGTAGCCGTCCGCGCGGCCGTCGAAGGTGTGGCACCGGCCCCGCGGCGACAGCATGCCCGCGCGCTCCACGACCTCTGTGACGGACGCGTCGATCATCGCGTTGACCGCGGACACCAACGCGGGCTCGTGGCGGTCCGTCGTCGCGTCGGCCAAGCGCGCCTCGTGCAAACACACGAGCGCCGTCGAGCAGGCCGTGTCCACGGTGAACGCCGCGCCCCGCAGGCCGAGCGCGTAGGGCAGCCGCCCCGCGGCGATGGCCGGGTTCGCGCCGGAGACCGCGTACGTCGACTGCATGAGCCGCGGGCTCCGGACGATGGCGCGCGCGAAGTCGTTCGTCTGCAGAGCCACAAAGTTGCCGACGGTCCAGGCGTCGTCGTGGGCGCGGATGGCCTGCTTCGTGATGCCCGCGGCGTCCAACGCCTCGAAGCCCACCTCCATGAGCTGGCGCTGCTGCGGGTCCATGACCTTGGCCTCGGCGACGGCGACGCCGAAGAAGTCGCCGTCGAAGTCGATCCAGTGCTTCGTCTGAATAAACCCGCCGTAGGTCGCCGTGTGCGGCAGGTCGAGGCCCTCGAGGCCCGTCGACGTGAGCGACGAGTGGACGCGGTCCAGCGGCAGGCGCCCCATGCCGCTGCAGCCGCCGCGGAGCGTCGCGTAGAAGCCGAGCGCGTTCGCGCCGACGTCGCCGACGGACAGCTTGCCCGTGATCGACGACAGGAGCAGCGGCGACCGCTCCGGCGCCGCGAGGGCGAGCCCGCTCGCGGGCTCGTCGTCGGACTCGTCGTCGGAGTCGGAGTCGTCGCCGCCGCCCTGGAGCTCGAGGACCATGGTTATCAGCGCCTTGCGGAGGTCCGACACCGTCGGGTACTCGAAGAGCGCGACCTCCGGGAGCTCGATGCCCAGCGCGCTGTTGAGCTGGTTCACAAAGTCCGTCAGGCCCATGCTGTCGACGCCCATCTCCATGAAGGGCACCTCGTCGTTCGCCGGGTCGTACTTCTCCATGATGTTCTCGATGGTCTGCTTGAGGGCCGCCTCGACGACGGGGCCGACGTCCGCCTTCGGCGCCTTCTCCTTCTTGACCTTCTTCTCCTTGGGCTTCTTCTCCTTCTTCTCCTTCTTCTTCTTCTCGGGCTGAGGCTTTTTGGACGGGTCGTCCTTGAGGTGGAGCTGCTTGGGCACGAAGGACAGGAACGCCTCGGGCAGCACGCTCAGCGACGGGCAGAGGTCGCCGCCGACGGCCGACCGGAGGATCCGCTCCATCCTCTCCAGCGGCGTCCACTGGGGCGCCGTGCCCACGGCCTCCTGGTGCATGCCCACGCCCTCGATGGCGAGCCACTGCAGCGCCGACGACCGCCGGCCGCCGCCGCGGCTGCCGAGCGCGTCGTCGTCGAGCGCGCCCGAGCTGTGCGCGTAGGCCGTCTGGCCCGGGCCGCCGAGGATGACCGTCGCCGACGTGAAGTGGACGACGTCGTCGACGAGGCCCCGCAGGAACCCGAGGTTCGACGCCTTGGGCCCCGTGACCTTGTCGACCATCCACCGCTCGACCTTGCTGAGGAGCGTGTCGTGGAGCACGCCCGCGGCGTGCACGACGCCGCCGAAGGTCAGCGCCGACGACGAGAAGACCGCGGACACGGCCTCGTTGAGGCCCGCGAGGCTCCCCGACGTGTCGACGCCGGCGACGAGGTGCGCGCGCTTCCGGAGGCGGCCGACGCGCTC